TTACTGTGAAAATAAACACATGGTAAGTGTTCATTTCACAAATATTTACCATACGTTGACTTGGTGGCAGGCATTATGCTAGGAGCTAGGGACACAAAGAGTGAATAAAATACAGTCCCCACCCTGAAGGAGCTCCAAGTCTAGGTGGGGAGGCAGAGAGTTAAAGAAAATATTATAATAAGCCAAGTGCAGAGGTAAAGGTACACACAAGGGAGCATGGAGAAGGAGTCAGCTAGGTGCAGGATGCTTTCCTGGAGAAAATGGTATACCTGAGCTGGTTCTTTAAAAATGAGTAGGAATCAGCCAGAGGAAGTGGCAGGAGGAGGTCATTGCAGTTATTAATAGATGGAACCATACAAGCAATGGCAGGCAGGGAAGAGACAGTCTCACAAGCACAGGAAGAAGTACAGGCTATTTTCCATTGCTGGAGCATAAATTCAGGGGCCGGGAGAGAAGAATGAGCATGTGCCAGACCTGAAAATTCTTGTGTGTTATACTGAGGAGCTGCGAGTGCATCCTGTGGCTGGCGGGAAGCAACCGAAGGGTTAAAATGGGAAGAGGTACAGGTCAGATTTGTAGTTTGGTAACTGTGGAGGCTGGCTTTGAGGGGGACAGGTTCAAAGGAGGAGAGACTTCTGAGTCTGGAGGAGGGGGCTGGGCATGGGTGTGGAGTGCTGTGTGTAGATTAGTTGGGGCTAGGGGTTGCTCTAACTGCCCCCTTTTGTTGGGGAGGTGCCAGGTCAGCTCTGCTTGGCTCTGGGGAGAGCAGGTGGCTTTGGGAAACTGGTAAAGATTTAGGGTACTCATTGGGAAGAGTGGGAGAGAGAACAGAGCGAGGATAAGGGAAAAGACGACTGGATGGGAGGTGAACTGCTACTGTAACAAGTCAGCACAAACTTAGTGGCTTAAATCAACACAAATTTAAAAATCTAATACAGGTCTCACTGGGCCAAAACCAAGGTATCTAGTAGCCACATTAAAGAAGCAAAAAGAAACAGGTAAAATTAATTTTAATAATATATTTTATTTGAACCAATATAGCCAAAATATTATCATTTAATATATAATTAATATAAAATTATTTAGATCTTTTACATTCTTTTTGTCGTACTAAGTCTTCAAAATCCAGTGTGTCTTACGGAGATGAAAGTAGCTAAAACCAAAAAGCAAATAAAGCAAAAAAACAGAAACAAAAACAAAGTCCAGTGTGTCTTTCAGACTTGTGGCATGTCTTAATTTGGGCCAACTGTGTTCCAAGTGCTCAGCAGCTTCACACGGCCGGTGACCGCCATACTGGCCGGCACAGGCTGGAGCGTGCTGACCCCCATCTCTTTGCACAGCTGGCTCGGTCTCGTTCGAGTCTCTGGCCAGAGCCACCTTTCCTGACCGTACTGTCTAAAATAGCCACCTTCCACTCCCAACACTGCTTCCTTTTCTTCAGAGACTTATCACTGTCTGGTATTTTATTAGTTATTTGTCTCTTTATTGTAATATCTGCCCTCTCTACCCATAGGATATAAATCCCATGAAGGCAAAGACCTATGTGTCTTCTTTAGTGCTATATCCCCAGCAGCTGTGTCACATCCATGGGAGAGTCTCAACAAATACTTGCTGAATGACTTTGAAGATTCCAGATTCGTCATTTGTCATCTCCCAAGCCAGTGTCCAGTGAGTGGGATATTAGAGGAGAGTGGAGAAGGGGCACCATGTCAGACATAAGGTGGTCCAGAAAGAACCTGTTCAAAAGCCTTCTGTAAGCTGAAAGGTTGACTCTCAGATGTCAAGTTTGGGGCTGGGACTCCTGGTCACAGCATTGCCTTCCAGCTGTGACTTGGCTGCTGTGTTGGTTTAACCACTGGCTTATCGGGTTTTATAAGCCATCCCATCACGTGGCATTTCCGCCTGCTACCAGTAGGTGGGGCAGTGTCATTTAAAAAAAGTAGTCTGCAGTTTCTAACCCGTTCCCAATTTGACTTTGCTTATGTTGCGTTCTGGAACTGCCCTGTCTCAAATCTGTGGTGTAGACTCATAAATGGTGCCGCCAGCTGTCCCAGCTGAAGAAACGCAGCCTCAGTTTGAAAGTATGCTTTCGGCGAGGGTGGCCAGCTTCTCCATAGGTGAAGCAGGCTGGCCCAGGCCCAGGCCCCGAGGAGACAGTGGGTTCTCTTCCTGGATCTTTGAGCACAGGCACAGAGCATGACTCACACACTGGGGTGTTCACAGTGGCCTAGAATCTTTGTGTTCTCCCGAGGTTGAAAACAAGCTTATTAAGAAGGTAGTCAAGGCATGACACAGACTAGTCAACAGGAGCTGCTCTGTGGGTCTGTGCATCTGGGCCTGGCACTCCGGCCACTGCTGAAAAGCCTGGCCTGCCAGTGAACTCCTCCCTGCCACTGTGGTCCACTGGTTTCCCTGCCACCACATGAAGCACAAGGTGGTATCTCCCAGCAGTAGCTCCCCCTTGGACCTCTAAGCCATTTGGAAACGTAAACTGCTTGAATATGATAGAGATTAGAATTGAGATTAGGGACCAGCTGAAGGTCACTTAGCACAGGTTAATTTGGTGGTATGTTTTTACCAGGACTTTTTGTCTTTTGGAGCGTGTACTATTTACTGCATTGCCACTGCAAGATATTCCAGAAGTTTGAGGAATTAATGTTGGCTTAAATTGCTTATTATAGATAGTCTTAACTACCTCATTCCAATACCATGTCTGATATTGCTACACTAACCCATCGGTACAGCTGAAGAGTAAGGCATTATGGCTCTGACTGAAGGACACCATAGGTCCAGTCAGCTGTGAAAAGGCCACTCCTTCTTTTAGAGACTAGGAGGGCCAAAAAGCACCATCAGGAAACTTTCTTCTTTCATTGTTACAATCATTAAACTCCATCTGAACCTGTGCATGTGCATGCATTGACATGCTTCTCTAGTTTTGCTGTCCTCTACACTTGGAAAGCCTTTCGATCTTTTCCTGTTTGGAGAAATCCTGTTCACTCTTGAAATGTCACCACCTCCATGAAGACTTTTCTGATTTTTGTAGTCACGATGAACCTTTTCTTCCAGCTTCTCATAGTACTTTGGGTCTTTGTTATTAGCATTTAGTCCACTTTGTCTTCTTGTTCACATGCATGTCTCGTCCATTAATTCAACAGACACTTATTGAGTGCCTATTTGTACCACACAATGGGGATACAGGGTACTTTCACAGAGCCTACATTCCAGTGGAAGCCCAGAGTTGGGTGGAATTTACATTCTTCATTGGCCCAGGAGCTTCTTGGACACAGTAACTGGATCTGCTCCTAGCTCAGGGCCTGGCACCAAAAGGTACTCAGAGAAGTTAGTTAAATTGAAACTGAGTACCTATGACTCCGGGAAAATTGGGTTAGAGTTCAAAGGAAGGTTAAATGTTAGCAAAGGTAGAGCATTAAGCAATTTCCAGGGGCGGCTGCAGTGGTTCTGATATGAGGATCCGGCATGGAGGCCGGAGACATCCAAGATCCCTAGTGGACTAGGACTGTAGGGAGGGACCACTGTCCTCCTCTAGGATAAGCCTGGGAATTTGATGCAGGGTCATCCAGACGTTTATCACACATTCCAGCCAGAAATCTTTTTGCTTTGACTGAGCAGACCATAGAGGCAAGCAGGTTGTTTTAAGGGCCCAGAAAAGAGTTATTAACCAAGGGTCAAACTGGTCAGATGACTAAAACTACATTGTCCAGTTGGCCCATGAGAAAAGCATGACTGATGCAATTATCATCACTCCCACTGGAGGGTGGCCAGGTATTATTTGACACTCATATAAAAAATGTCACTTGAATTTTTACTAGGAATTCTCATCCAAAATGGGTCAATGATATAATAAAACCAAATGACTGGCCTGCCAAAGTAAACTGCGTTCTAACCACACACAAGCATTACTTAGAATTTGTATATATCTCAGAATAACTGCTCTACTCTGAAGCTTGACAGCAGGAATGGGTTATTTGGGGGGACCGGGGCGATTAGGAGCGGGGAACCACCTTACTTATTGACTATATACTATATTGTTCACTCCAATCACATTACCACTCACCTCACTTTTCACCATCTGCTGCTTACCTGTGAATAAGGGGCTCCAAGATAGTGAAAGATAAGTCTTAGTGTTTTCTTTGCCCCTTTGTTTTCTTTAATCCAATACAATTCTGAAAATGATAATATTAAACAGCACCCAGTCATTCTTAGAAAGCTGTCACACAAGGAAAAAAAACACTATTTTCTCAACCTTTTTGCATAGGACATTATAGCCTATAATCTCATCTTCCACCACCTCCCCCAGAAGTTTCGATCTAGACATACATTTATTCAGTGAGTCGCAATTCAGCCTGGGGGTGGAGTGTCACAGTTCAAGTTCCTTTTGCTGCGGGGTAACCCAGGTCTTGGTGGTTTCTGTAGATAAAAGAGACACTGGCAAATTTGGGATGTAATTGCCAGATTGGATCGGTCTCCGCCCTCCCTCCACCAATGGCTGCTACCGGGTTCCTTTAAGAGACCAGAAATCTGCCCGGCGTTGGAGCCCGAAAAGGATCCTCTTCTCTGCTCCTCCCCTGTCCCCGCGCGGCGAATGGTTCGCGCCGGCCTATATTTACCCGAGATCTTCCCCTCGGACGGCAAGGATGTGAGGCGGGCGAGCCGGCCACCGCTCGCTGCACCGGAGAGGGCGCGCTGCAAAGGCGGGCAGCCGATCCAAGAGAGCCCGCGAGTGGAGTTGGACACTCCGAAGGGAAGAAATGAGGTAGCGGCGGTCCCCGGAGCCGGCCATGCGAGCGCCCAGCCCGCGGAGACCAGCGCTCCCCGGGCCAGGCCAGCCCGGGCAGTGAGGCGGCCGAGGGCGAGTCCCGGCGTCCGGCCGGAGCCGAGATGCAGTGAGCCGCCGCGGGACTGCTGCGCTGGGCCGCCGCGGCCGGCCGCGCCCGCCATCTGACCGCACTTCGGGCAAGCTGCTGATTCTGGGACCAGCCCGGCCGAGGGGCTCTCCATCTCCAGCAACTTTGGGGGTGGGGAGCACCGGCCCCAGGGGACAGTCGCTCTAGAGTTTCCGCAATTTCTGGCCCCAGGCCCGGGAGTTGTGTGTGTCAGGGGGCCCTTTTCACCTTCGCTGGGGAGTTTCTGCATATTCTCGCACCATCCCGGGTGCTTTTGCTGGGGCTCCCTCTATTTATTTGCACGCGCGCATCTAGCTTTTTTCTAAGACGTTTTGCTCCGCTCTTGTTCCCTCTCATTTTGTTGCTTGCCTGAGACTCTGCTCTTGTCCTTGCCCAGGCTGGGGTAGTTCTGTGTGTGCGCGCGCTCGCTCTTCCCTCCCCTTCCCTATTTTCTTCTTTTAAAAATTCTACCCTCAACCCCTGCAGGGTTTCTAAACACTATCTCTCCTCCCCTTCCCCCAACTCCCTACCACTGGGCCGCTCCCAACAGTTTTATTTTTCGGTCTTGCCCGGGCCGGGGCGGGTGGCTCAGCGGGGCTCGCACCCGGCGCTCCGCCGCCGCCGCCCAGCTGTGCCGGGGCGCCCTTCGGAGATGCTGCCGTGGAAGAAGCACAAGTTCGAGCTGCTGGCCGAGGCGCCGCCGCGGCAGGCGTCCAAGCCCAAGGGCTACGCTGTGAGCCTGCACTACTCAGCGCTCAGCTCGCTGGCACGGGCGTGCCCCGAAGGCGCGCTTAGCCGGGTGGGCAGCATGTTCCGCTCCAAGCGCAAGAAGCTGCACATCACCAGCGAGGACCCCACTTACACCGTGCTCTACCTGGGCAATGCCACCACCATCCAGGCGCGCGGCGACGGCTGCACCGACCTAGCCGTGGGCAAGATCTGGAGCAAGAGCGAGGCGGGCCGTCAGGGCACCAAGATGAAGCTGACGGTGAGTGCGCAGGGTATCCGCATGGTGCACGCTGAGGAGCGCGCGCTGCGCCGCCCCGGCCACCTCTACTTGCTGCACCGCGTCACATACTGCGTGGCAGACGCGCGGCTGCCCAAGGTCTTCGCATGGGTGTACCGACACGAGCTAAAGCACAAGGCGGTAATGCTGCGCTGCCACGCTGTGCTGGTGTCCAAGCCCGAGAAGGCGCAAGCTATGGCGCTACTACTCTACCAGACATCTGCCAACGCGCTGGCAGAATTTAAACGCCTCAAGCGGCGGGACGACGCGCGTCACCAGCAGCAGGAGCTGGTGGGCGCGCACACCATCCCGCTAGTGCCGCTGCGCAAGCTGCTCCTGCACGGACCCTGCTGCTACAAACCGCCGGTGGAGCGCAGCCGCAGCGCGCCCAAGCTCGGCTCCATCACTGAGGACCTGCTTGGGGAACAGCAGGAGCAGGAGCTGCAGGAGGAAGAGGAAGAGGAGCACTCCGTGGGCTGCCTGGAGGAAGAGGAGGACCGTGCGGGGGAGGGAGACCCAGCAGAGCAGGAGGCTGAGGCGCAGCGGGCGCTGGTGGTGGCCATGCACTTAGAGTGCGGAGACTTGCTGGACACGCTGGAGAATGGCCGCGAGGAGGCGCTGGGGGGCGGCGGGGGCTCCTTGGGCCGGGGAGCCGGGCCGCCGCCTCTGCTGCTGGGCAGCGCCTCCGACATGAAGGCCGAGCTGTCGCAGCTTATTAGCGACCTGGGCGACTTCAGCTTCGGCAACGACGTGCGCACTCTGCAGGCCGACTTGCGGGTGACGCGCCTGCTGTCGGGCGAGAGCACCGGCAGCGAGAGCTCCATCGAGGGCGGGGGCCCGGACGCCACCTCCGCCACCGCCGTGGACCCGCCCAGTCCAGCCGACGCCAGCCAGGACGAGCCCCACTCGGGCTGAACTCCCAGAAGACTCCTCTGCGCCCCCGGCACCCCACTGTGGGTCCCCATCCGTGGTCCTGACAACCACCCTATCCTCCGCCCTCGCCCAGGAAAGGGGAAATGGGGCATGCGAGGCCCAGAATTGACCCTGGCCGCCCCCCCTTCCCTTGCCCCAACACTTTAAGTTCTGTTCGAGGCGGGCTCAGGTTGCGCTTGGGGATGTGGGGAGACGTGAGAGCGGGGAAAACCCCTGCAAGGAAGGTGCGAGGCCGGCCTGTGGGAAGCGGGTGAAGGAAGGCGGGCTGGGCTGAAGTTCGCAAAAGTCTCTCCTGCCGGCCGGTTTCCTGTTTGTGGGGCAGCTGGGGCCCGAGGAGGAGGGGTTCACTTCCTCCCTCGGCCCCCTGGGAGCGGCCTTGCACTGTCATTGACATGGCGTTGAAAAAAAAGGATTTGCTCTCAACAAATGTTTGAGGCTTCAGTGCCACCCCTTTGCCCCCAGTTCTTTTTGGTGCAAGCGCTTGGGCTGTTTACCTCAAGACTCAGACCCTTGAAATTCTGCCAAATTCCTCAAATAACTGTTGGGGTGGGGGGAGATGAAAGAAAGTTGCGTTTTGTTTACAGTTAAAGACATCTAATATCTGAAAAAGGAGTTTTCCTTTAGAAACACACACACACCCCTTCCTCTTGCTCAAAAGATCTCACTCCATGATACTGTGTAAAATATTTTTGCACTGTTGTGAAGTATTTTTGACATCTTTATTTTGTACATAATTGTGTTCTCAGAGCTGAATGTTTATGTCTTTTGCTGTGCAAAAGAAACATGTAAAATGTTGTTCAGTTGTATATACAGAAATGTGTATAAAACATTTTTGTTATTTTTTAAAAGTAGCACTGTTCTGGTTCTGTTTGCACGTCAGTGGGGGGAGAATAAAGAGGAAAATTTACCAGAACAGGTGAGCCTCTGGAACTGCTGCATGGGGGTGGGAGAGGACGTGTCAAATCCTGGGATGGTGTGATCAGACAGTCTTTGGCTTGGAGAGAATTAGGGAAGGGGGATCCACTTTATGTGTAGTCCGGGGCCTTTCTGGACCTCCATAACTCTGCGTGCTGTGTCTGGGGCCAGCCTTCACAATATATCCCATATTCCCACTACGTTGTGCATGACCTTTTCTGATCTTTCTGAGTTAATTTTTGGAGAGGCTAGGGTGAATTCCACTTCCCACTCTCAGACTTGTGAGATTATTTATGGAGGAGTGACTTTCCGAGTCTGCTGAGGTTTTACCACTTCCTTCTGTGGGTCACACTAATGATCAAGTGTAAAGATACCACATAATCTTCTCCTTTATAAACAGCCGGGGAGCTTTAAGGATGAACTAGAAACCCAAAGAAAGTCCCCTGGAGCTCCGTGAGGAGCAGAATCATCTCTGTTTTTCCTGGGAGGAAAACCAAAGAGAGAGAAAAGTTGACAAGTTCTGATCGTGGTGTGAATGAGTCATGGTGCAGGTGGGGTGGTGGATGGGCAGGTTGCAGATCCCATTTCCTTCCCATCTCCAGCCCAGCATGACCCGGTGGGGGAGTGGTGTGGAGGTCAAGGCAGAGAGGAGCTGTTAGCGCTTGGGCCGGGTGTGCATGTTTTAGTGTTTTCATGCTTTCCGTGTGTTTGTTTCTGTTGTAAACTCCAAACAGATGTCTCTAGTTTGGCTACACCCGATCAGTTGGAAGTTGTAATAAGATGCTGCCAAAACTGTGCCTTCTGCAAATTCTATTTTCCCTTTGCCCTTTTGAGCCTCTTTTCCTGTGTTGCAGAAATGGATCTCACTCCTGGCCTTCCCTGGTGTCCTGAGACCACTTTGTTTTGTTTTCATCATAAATATGCTCTGAGCAGCTAGACCCAGAGATCCTAAGGAGTCTGGAGTTCACGGAACCATAGAGGGAAGGAAAATTCAAGATTTTCTTCCTAATTAATGGGAGTGGGTCTGGCATAAGATGATTTTGAAAAAAGAAAAGCAAAGGGGATGAGTGGGAAATATTTTTAAAAATATTCAGTCTCTTCTTAAGGGCATTAGGACAAGGTCCAGGTCTTTGAATCTATTTTATTTTGATTTGTTTGAAAGTTCCTATTCCTCTCCCTGAATACCTCAGATACACATCATTGAATGACATTAAAAAACCCCCAGGTAGAGAGGTCGGCAAAGCCAAATCCTGGCGTACCACCCACCCACATTGGTGAGCCTTCCACACAAGTGTTCTTGCCTGATCAGCAGACAGCTGTGGGGGCCATATCTATCCTGTGTGACTAGATTTTACATTTCAGATTATTTCTAGGCATTGCCAAGTTCCTCTGCTGTTCGAAACTGATGAAGAGATAAAACAGTGAAGATAATACTGCTAATACTTGGGGGTGGGGCAGAGTCTGTGTGTCTTCATTCTTATCCAATTTATGTGCCTGATGAGAATGCCAAGGTTGGCGTTCATCTGTGACGAATGGACATATGGTGATTGGTCAAAAACTTCAGGCAAATGACATTTAAACCAACACCATCAATAAATATAAGGTAACTGTCTCTTTAAAGTCTGATTATTTCTCTTATTCTATTTATAAATAGGTGGTGGTGGGGGTTGGGGGCTGAGTGGGTGGAAGGAGAAAATAATCAGGCTGTAAAAAAGCCAGGTCTCCCCCCCTCTCCCTACACCACTCCGCCCCATGCCCTCCCCGTCTCTCCTTCTCCTCTGCTTTTTGGCTTTCATCCCCACTGCACCCCAGGGCTCTGACTGATGTAATTCTAGAAGAGATTCGAAGGTGATACATGATTCACCCTTTCTTATGTCTCAGTCTTCCAGGGTGATATCACTAGAGTAAGAAGAGATATTTTGAATGAAAAACAAAACACCCACCAAAAAAACCTCAAAAATCTAATTTGCTCCTGGCACTTGGAGGGAAAAGACTGGCATGACCAAAGCAAAGTTAAGTAGTGAGATGAAATGCACGTTCCGAAAAGCACCTGAAGTCTGGTTTGCTCATCACATTTAGCTTTTCCTTCTTGCAAGGTGAGGCTCGTGTTTCTCCTTGACGTAACCTGATGGTACTTTAAATGCAGTGAGACACTTTCACATTCTTTCCCAGCCTAAGTAATCCTCCGTGTCCGACAATGCAGCATTGACTGCATGAAAAACAGTGACTTCCGGCAGCGAGAGAGATGTCGCAGAGGTGGAGGCGCCAGTCCGTAGAGGAGGCATTCGTCACCCTCTCTGGGCACACACAGCCCATGTTTGTTTCTACAGTTGTGTATGTTGAGGGGGAAGGCAGGCAGGAGGAGTAGCGGTACAAAATACGCAACAGTATTTCATACCCTCTCAACTATTCCAGAGTAAGAGAACACCCCCTCCGCACACACACACATGCTCCTCCCTAAAGAAAACATCCCTTTCACGGCTCCACAGTCAGCAGTACAGTAGATTTTAAACAAATTAGAAAGGCTCTGTTATACTAAGAAAGCCCCATTCCCTTCCCAGGAGACAGAGCTGTTTTTGAGGGTTCTGCCTGTGAACAGAGAGAGAACTGGCTGGTAGAATCTACCCCTGGTACCACATTGGGGATTAAAAAATCTCATTGGAGTCGCTGAGAATCACGAGAAACACAAAAATTCTATTAGGAGCAAGTTGCCTTCTTTTCTAGCAGGATTTAGTAATTTAATAAGCAGAACTCTTTGCTCTGCGTGGTATGCATCAGTAGCCCTAGCATGTGCTGGTAAGTGATGCATGACAGAGCTAGAAATGTGTGTGAACTGCGGTGGCTAGGAGCCATGGCTGACACGTGGGGAACTCTGTACTCTCTGCTCCAGGCGTTTTGCATATGGCCGCTGTCTAAGTCTGTTTAGTATTGCTATAAAGGAATAGCTGAAGCTCGGTGACTGATTGATCAATTGAGACAGGGTCTCACTCTGTCGCCTGGGCTAGAGTGCAGTGATGTCATCATAGCTCACTGCAACCTCAAACTCCTGGGCTCAAGCAATCTGAGTAGCTGGGACTACAGGCGCACCACCATGCCTAGCTAATTTTTCTGTTTTCTGTAGAGACAAGATCTTGCTGTGTTGCCCAGGCTGGTCTCAAACTCCTGGGCTCAAGAGATCCTCCCACCTTGGGCTCCCAAAGTGCTAGGATTACAGGCATGAGCCACCACAACTGGCCCTGAAGCTGGGTTATTTATAAAGAAAAGAGGTTTATTTGGCTCACAGTTCTGCAGGCTGTACAAGAAGCATGGCTCCAGCACTGGCTTCTGGTGGAGGCCTCAGGAAGCCTCCACTCATAGCAGAAGGCGAAGCGGAGCCAACGTGTATAGGTCGCACTGAGAGGCAGGAGCAAGAGAGAGCCAGGAGGTGCCAAGCCCTTTTCAACAACCATCTGTGGAAGGAACTAATAGAGAGAGAATTCACCCACTCCCAAACACCTCCCATTAGACCCCCCTCCAAAATTGGGATCAAATTTCAACATGAGGTTTGGAAAGACAAACATCCAAACTCTAGCAGCCGCATCTGGATCTGGCTTTACTGTTAGCCGGGGCCTTTTCTGTGCCTGCTGGCTTATCCCTGTTCATAACCCCAGTGTCCCTGGGATCAAACCTTTACTGCCAACTCTGAAGTGACCCAATTTGGGCTGTGTTGACTAACCACCATTTTGGTGGTTTGAATGGCTAGATGGCCCTGGAGCTGAGCACTTCTTTCTTCCCGTATCTCGGGGTGTTCAGTGGCACCAGCGAAGGTCCTGTTTCTAACACCCATGGAGAGTGGCCCTTCTGACAGTCACCTTTTCTGCCTTCCTCTTCATCTCTCTCCCATCCCACTTCCTCCTATTCGCACTTCATTACCCTCTGGCTTTTCCTACTGCCCACCTGCTCCTGGCTTCATTTTTCCTCCTTTCCATAAACCCAGCTCAGACCTTAAATCTCCCCAAGGAAAAGAAAGCCCAAACTTTAAGGGAAAACCAAACCATACATGTTGGCATCAGCCAGCACCAATCCTGCTGTTCGAGGGCATGCTCTGGCCCTGGCCCCCACTGACAGATGAATAAACTGAGGCACAGAGGGGTGATGTCCTGCCTATCACATGGGAGGGACCACAACCGAGGGTCCAGACTCCCAAGCCAATGCTCTTTTCTCATGTCTCTGGTTTCTATGGCTTATAAACAGATTTTTAGCTTCGGGATGGCAGGAACTGGCTGTTGAACATCTCCTTTCTTTAGTATCCCCTCATTTCATACGTGATGGGTGCTTGATGATAAATATTTACAATGCTGTTCATCAACACCCATTCCCCACACAAAGTGTGAGTGAACATGTACTAGATGCATGGTGCTGGGGGTAAAGGGTTCAGGTGTGTGTCTCCTTGGGGAGAATGCTGCTGGTGCGTGGGGTAGTAGCCCCCAGAGGAACTTGGTCTCCTCTTGTTTCCATCCTCGGGATCTGGTCTGGTGAGACCCCGCCCTAGAAGAGCAGGTCTAGTTTGAGGGTGGGGGAGTTCTTCCCATTGCATCATGGTTATTAATCACCTGTACCCTTCCTATTGGCTGAATTCTTCCAGGACAAGCATGTGTTTTAGGCATCTCTGATTCACCACACTTAGCACAGGGCCTGGCACCTAGTAGGTACTCAGGAAATGCTAAGAAGGAGTAAGGAGTGATTCCACTCCAGGATGGGAGAACAGGTTTGATCAAGCTCAAGGTCATTACCCAGATGGAGGAACTAAG